GGGGGGGGGGGGGGGGGGGGGCAAAAACGTATTTTCGGCATTTGGCGGGAGGGGTTTTTATTGGGGGCTTGCCCAATCAGCCGTCGACGCGAACCTGCTGCACAACAAGCTTAGGCGTTACGAGGCATTTGGAGAACAAGCTCGCAGAGGGAGAGGAGAAGCGTGTGAGAGCGGATTAAGGAAGCCCAGCCCTAGCAGCCAGATTTTGCTTGGGTAGGAAGGAAAGCAAAACCATGCCGGTGAGCGAAGGCGTCTGTTTTGTGTGCATCTGCTCCCTCTGTCACGGGGTTGTTTGTTGGTGCTGCTCGCGTGTGGACGGCGCCTGTGAGCGGTCCTCGCTTTCCCTTGAGACCTCCGCTCGAAGAAGGGGGCGCCTACTGGCGACCTCTCGGCAGGGTTAAGCGAGACCCAAGGTTTACGTTGGACAGCAGTGTTATGCTGTTGGCAAAGGGAACGGCCCTGGGCGTGCGCGGTGTTGGTACCACACACCACAACCCACCACCTGCGGTGTTAGTATCGTTTGGGAAGCAACGGCGGGCAACCACACACCCCCTTCCGCCGTATGCCATACCATCAAGCTCGGCAAGAACACCTTACCGACAGATTTGGCAACAGGTCCTGCTGCTCTGTTAGCTGGTGTCGGTCTGTGTGCTCTTGATCGGCATGCCAGCTCTGTTACCTGTGCAGCAACAACGAGAGAGCTCTCGCCTCGGTTCTCTGCACGACACAGCAGCCGGTTCTGTTATGACACACATCGGTACATCGGAAATGGACGCTGCCGCCCAGCTGGCGGCGGCTGGGCGTTGGCTGGTTCCCGTGGTTGCCCGTTACCTACGACGGTACTGCTGTTCCTTGATGGACCTTGTGTGGTGTGGGAGGGTGCAGGCAGGGCAGCCTGACGCCAAAGCGGCGGCGGCAGGGACGTACGGGTATTGTTTCAAAACAGCATACCCACGCGGACAAAACCCGCCGGAGCCTCAGGCACTCGACGGCTGCAGTGTTCTGCAAGACAAGCTAGAAAGCTTTCCGCGGCCCTCACGCCCTCGGTTGTCGTCAAACAGAGGCTCCAGCGTGTGGTGTCTTCTACTATCGATGTCCTTGCGTGGGGTTTCGCTTTCTCTCTCGCATTTGTACATATGCGGGATAGTTTAGATGTGTACCTGTGGCGAGGAGGGTTTGGGGATGTTCGATTGTTATCTTCTTTGGAAACGTCCCAAGTTCCCTGCTGCTGAGTGTCCGTCTACATGTACGAAGATGGATAGCTGCTGCTAGGGTCCTCTCCCATTTGGCCCATTTCCGCATGCTGCTGCACACCTGCCCTCGAGCCTCTCCCCAAAGTCAAGCCCCACCTGTTGGTTTTGAGAAGCAATCTTGAATGTAGGGTCGGAGCCAACCTTTATCTCGGCTTCTTGACCGACCCATGTGCAAGACTTTTCCAGGAATCTTACCTACTCTTATCGTTCACCAATAAAACTCCATCGCCTGAACTATTATACCGCATGAATCCGCGGCGCATTTTTGACGAGCTGCTTTTGTCATAGCACCCACCTGTACGCTAGACGCCACACTCACAGCCCGCACTGCAGCTTTCCTATCCCCCCTGCTGGTGCCACGGTGCCCTATTTTAGAGGATGTTGTGCAGCAGTGGTACATATCGTTTCCCGTTGCACGGTTTCAGCATCCTCTCAACCGGGTGCTAAACATATATACGCCTGCCGGACTCTGCTCACCCCCATCTAATATCCAAATACCCACAAGTGCTGTGAAACTTGGCGCGTACCACTCTCTCTTGAAGAGTTCTCCGTTCTCCAAGTACGCGCTGATTTGGGTCTTGGTCGAATACGCAAACTTTTGCGTACCATTAATGTCATCTCGAGTCAGCCGCAGTCTTGTCAGCGAAGAAGAACAGGACTTTTGCCTCAATCTGTTGAGTAGGCGCCCATCGCTACTCATCCCAAACGCTCAGGGTCGCGTAGATACCGCAGCATTGATGACAGGCAACAAGTCACCCATAGTCACCCTCGGGCGGGGGGAGTGCTAATTGTGCTGCAAGCATGTTTTGCGTGCCTTGGCTGTCAGACCATCGACAACAAACACCTCCTTTGGGTGGGGAGGGTATCTTGGATGTCGGTGTGTCCGGTGATCGATCATCACCCTATTGCCACCATGTGGAAGCTAGTGCTCTCTCTCTCTCTCTTTCTTTGTCTCTCTCTCTCTCTCTCTCTCTCTCTCTCTCTCTCTCTCTCTCTCTCTGCCGGCATTGGCAGTTTCAGGCGACGAGACAGCCGTGGCGAGTTATTTTCGTGCCTGCCGACTGCTTTGTGTCGCCTGGTCGTTGGATGAAAACGCTGTGCCGTGCTCCCTACGATTCACGCGAAGTGCAACCCCCCCCCCCCTCCCCCCAGGCGGCAACATACTCAGACCAATTTTATCTGACCAATGTCGACTCGCGTGCTAGATACTGGGGTGATATTTGTTCCTCGGAGCTGGCGAGGAGAGACAATCCTCTCGACCCCACCACGACGACAGGCACTGCTGTCCGATCATACCCGCGGTCCCGTTTTTGATTCCGTTTCGCCCGGTGTAGACGTTTGGAAAGGCGGCTAGGGGCGCTTTGTCTTTTTTCAGACAGTACAATGGCGGGGGGGGGGGCTTCAAGAACGCCGGGTGACTAGAACGCTTTCCCGTTCGCCTCTGGCCGGGCACAACACGAGCGCGCCCACGACTCCCTCGTCGAATTTCGCAACGACCGTCCACACACCACCGTACCTCCCGCGGCACGTTCGATCCGGCCGGCCTTGGGAGCCATGAAAAGTTAAGGCTCCACCTTTTGGTATTTATAATAGATATAGATATGCGAATGTAAGAGCTTGTGCTGTTATGTGTCGGTCAACACGGCTGGACGCGCTGTGCATTTTACGAACGTGGCTTTTGAGGATGATCGAACGTTTCTCTCCATCCCCATTTTTCCCATCCCCGAGAAACAATCCGCCGCCGCTGATTGGGAGAGGGAGACTGAACCCCGTCCCCTCTCCCCTCTCCAATCAATCTGTTCCGAGGATGTCGATGACGTACTACATTTCTCTATCCTTCGCCCTCCTGTATCAATCCCCGTCACACATCGCTTTGATGTCCCGACCGCCGTATCTCCGCTTACAGACGATGCCGTCTGACTGCAAGTTCAAGCGTCCGTACTGCTGTACTGTTGTAGCAATGTTGAGACGACGACTACATGGGCAAATTGTCAGGGAAGAAAAGGCGTGTTTGTGTTATTGCCCAAAGTGCGGGGGGGAAATTGAGAACCATAAAATGCGGGCGGTCAGCCAAATCGATCCTCAGTTGCAGAGGACAACAAAACGAGAAAAGCCATCTGCTTTTTCATCTTGTATCCGCTTCGTGCGTGTGTGGCGATGCACGCAAATATGCCGCACCCGTGACAGATAGAAGGACAGATGGGTGGAGACCATGACGCAGAGAAACTACTGACGGTACGACGCTAAACCTTCGCTTTGTTGTACACAGAACGGCCGCATCCTTTTTTTATAATCACACACACACAGACACACACCCCACGGGGTCCCAGCTCATGGCAGATAGAAGTGTTTTGTGTTTTCAACCGCACTAAGACTGACGTCTTTTCATTGGTCAGCCGGTTAGCGCGGTCGATGCTAATAATAAAGACACACACACACACCCGAAGGAGAACGAGTCGTATTTCGGCGGTCCTTCCTCCGTTTAGGTGAACCCGGCAGCACGACAGGGGAGGGTACGGGTTGAAACGGTGTTTTCTTTCTTGCGTCAGCTCTGCCCAGGCGAGACTCTCTCTGGTTGTACATGCCACGTGTTTCGTCGCACCACGTGCTTGCTGCATGGGTCCAGTCTGTTTCTCTGCGGTGGCAGTTTCGAAGGAATGGAGGGTCGCTCTGTATGTGTTGCTTACGTTCTGGTCGGGGGGGTTTGCCTCTTGACTTCCACGGACACACTCACGAACACACTCGTATGTCGAGCCGATTATGAAGTATTTTGGCTCGACATGGCAGCGTCGCCATCATGGTTCCTTCCAGAGCGCAAGCACTACGCCGTTCGTTTCCGTACCGCACTGCTTCTCCTTGAGGTGGAAGACTTCAGACTCGTTGCTCGGCTGTCGCACAGCGGGGATGGCCCGCGCTCAATAGGCCGCCCGTTGCATACGTCAGCCCTTGCGTATTGTACTCTTCCACCGCCCGATAATTCGAGCCGTTGAGCCGCCGTTCGTGGGCTACCGTTTTTGTTGTTGAGCTTGAAGAGGATCTCATGTCGTGGCATGCTCCCCCCTCCCTTGCTCCCCCTCCCTTGCTCTGAGCGAGGGCCGAGACTTTTCATTTCTTTATTTATTACCTCGCGTCTCTCCGCTTTGTTGTCCCTGCTGCGCTCTAGCTCAACCAGGAGAGCACAGTTTCGCATTCCAACTCGACGAACGAAGTTGGACGGCTCGAGTCAGTCTTGGTTTGTATCTACTTGTAGTGGGTGAGACTCGTGCGGGTACCCCACCGCCACAGCCACAGCAACATTACAACATCACTGTGCACCACAACGATCAGCAAGAGGCAAAATTTCACCACAGGAACTCAGCAAACAAGCACTTGAACACCCAGCACCACCACCTTCTTTTTCTTTTTTTTTGCCTCCTCCTCCTCCTCGCCCCTAGAGTGCGGTTCGTTTGGAAGCTAAACCCATCTCTCCTTGTCCCTCTACGTAGTGCATGATGCGCCCCCGATGTGGTAGCTTTTCAGTCCGGTTGGGCCATCGCCAAACAGGCAGTTGCACCACTGCCATGTTATGCTGTGGTCATTGCACGCGTTTTCTTTCGGCAGCATGTGCACTAATACTAGATTCGTGTGATCACCCCTGACACCCCTAATATGTTATTTGTTTCTTGATAACGCTATTTATATACTTGCATTGTGGATTTTGCGCGCAAGACAAGTTGGAGTCTTGTACGTCTGTTCGTGTGTGTCTCGCTTGCAGACCCTCGGGGCGGTATCATACTACCCGTCAAATCGAATACCGGACACGCCAAACTTGGCACGACCTGTCTCTTGCCATCCTTCCACGGCAACGTCCTCACACCCTCCTGGTTGTTTGAAAATCCTTTCTGTTACTTATTTATTTTTTTGCTCCTGTGCTCGTTCCCTAACAAACCCAATGTTTTCCTGTCGCCCGCGCGTGTTGTTGTCTTCTTCTTGTCTACTGCTATTGTGTTTTTGTTTTTCGGTACCTCCTCAACGCTTGTCCCCTCGACGACAACGCCTCAGCCGAAGCCTGCAGGGGAGGGATTGGCGAACCGGGCCGCAAAGCCGGCGGGGGCAGCGGGGGCATCAATGGCAAAGCGGTGCGTCGCCGAACGCGCCTGTGCTTTCCGTTGCTCCGCTAGCAAAGATGATCCTAGCCGACGTGATCGAAACCACAGGCGGTCTCGAGCCGCGAAAGCAAAGCTTTGTATGAATGGTATTGTTTATGCGCTAGCTTGGGGGGGGGGGGAGACATGACGGGAAGTGACGTGTACCTTGTTCTCGTTCTTATAAAGTACCGTGTTGGAAGGTGTTTGGTGTATGATGTGATGTGGTGTCATCGACCCGGGCATCATCAGTACGTCTAAAGGCCTCTGCCTCGAGTAGGATGGATGCACGTTACGGCGATCGAAGTCGGGGCCGTGTGCGGACGTGCACCACCACTGGCATGGCCTCCAGCAATCCTCAGCGCCTCGTGCGTGTTTCGGATGTCGCGACGGGAGAAGGATTGCGTTTCATTCGAGCACATCGGCGGTAAAGCTGGCGTAGGATAAACGAAGCCGCTGCACCCCCCGCCCCTATTTTTTCAACAGCAGTTTTGGTGGACCACAGCTTTCAAAAAGAGCCCTTGGTGTGCAGCGCGAGTGTATCTAGGTAGAGCTGTGGCAGGTGTTTCGGACAAGGGTACAAGGGAGCAAGTGGCATTGAACGTGCAGATACGGGGAGCCCGTTGGCCTTGATCGATATTTGCTTTTACAACTCTGCTTCTTGTTGGGAACGTGGCAGAGTCTTGCCGAAAGCACACCCCCTGGGCATTTGTTTTGCTTTTCCGTCTCATGTTGTTGTTGACTGATCTTGCTGCTCTTCTCTGCTTCGTCTTTGTCGGTTTCTGTCGTTTTATTTTGATGTCGTTTGCTGCGCTGCGCGACGGTATCTGTGGCGTTGTCCCGGTGCTCCTTTCAACGAAACGGGATGGGATGATTTCAACCAAACCAAACTCTACGGTTCCTCTCGATCTCTACTTCGCTTCCTGACGGCCTGTGGCCCGGCGGAACTTGATTGTCCTGCTGCATGGCATCTCCGCCTTGGTTTGGTGCCATAAAGGGGGTAAGTAAGCCGTTCGACATTCTTGGTCGGGCGCTCGCTCGCGGGGGGGGGGGGAAGGGCATTATCTTGTGCATGTTGCGGCGGAGCAGCTGATGTTCTTTGGCGTATTCGCAGCTGTCAAAAAGCCCTACCATGTATCAAGAGTTCAAGTTGTGACCTTCTTCTTTCTTCACTGCGGCGCACCATTGCCAACAGTTGATGTGCACGTGGCCGTGTGCTGTTCATTGAATTTCTTCTTGTTTTGGCGGCACGAGTAGCCCGTGAGCGCACACGCGTTTTGACCCCCCACCCCGTACGACCGGGCATTCGCGTCTTGATTCGGTTGATTTGCTTTCTTGTAGGGCACGCCCTCAGCGTCCGGCGGCGGGAGCACGCGGAGCAGCGGCCAAGGGGGGGAACAACCAGCAGGGTGAGTCCGGGCTTTGGCGCGGCACTTGCGAGTGACGTGCTTCCGAGCTGTATGATAGGTTTTGCCGAAGCCCGTCCCTTCGGTGGGACGGTCGGAAGGCTCAAGGACTTGTGACGGCTTTGCGGGTTTATTTCTTTTCTGCCTTTGCTCGAGGTGCAACGAACGCGACTGCCCTCTCGGGAGTATGTTTTCGTAGATGGGATGACATGAGTGTTTCCACCACGGGCTCCAGCGCACAGTCGAAAAGAGCACGCAGCAGAGCGAATGACGCTGACACCGCGACCTTTGATCTCTGTCCTCATGTTTCCCCCCATCCACAGCACCCCCCTGACCCCAATCCTACCCATGTTCCCCTTGCATGTCGATCCATTCGGTTGTGGCCGTGCATGCACGCACGCATGACCAACCAATGCATACGTATCCAGGCATCATGAGGTTCTATACGGATGACGCCCCCGGCCTACGCATCGGCCCCACGGTGGTGTTAGTATTTTCCTTGGCGTTCATCGGCTGTGTCGTACTCCTTCACATCTGGGGAAAGTTCAAGGGATGATTTGATTTTTTTTTTTGTCATTTGAGTCTTGGCGCTGGCGTGTGCCACACGACACCCACCTGGCCAAGGCACGGGATAGTAGAAATCTGGGGGGCGGGGGGGGGGGCGAGGTATATGTGTATGATGTCGTGTCTTTGTGGAGCACTTTCCCTGCGGATTTTGTGGAGCTAGGGCCAGGCAAGCGTGTCTTGCGTTCTGCTGCAGAGTTTGCATGCGCCAGCGGCATGGTAACAGGGAAGATGTTGGCGTTTTATTGTGTGTTCCCCACCTTGCTCTTGCGTGGTGGGTTGGGCGAGGGGAAGATGCCTAGACAAATCACCAATGGGCACCGAAGAAGACAAGCGGAAGTCGCTTCCTGGTGGGAAGCAAGCCGTTCGGAATGGTCTTGGAGATTTTTGCGTGATACCCCTCACGGTCCCCCCCTCCCTGCCCGGGGGGGGGGGGGGGGGGGGCTGCTTGGGGGGGAAAAATTGGGGTTGGGGGAAAAAAAAAAAATGCCCGCCCCCCGGGGTTTTTTTAACCGGATCCTTTAATTGGGGAGGGTGGGGCCGGGCAGCCAAAAAAATTTCAAGTTTTACCCGGGGGGCGGGGAGGCCCCTTCCCCCTAAACAAAGGAAAAAATTTTTGATTGGGAAAATTTTTTCCCCGCCTTTTTTTCCCCCCCCCCCAAAAGGGGGAAACCCCGGGGAGGGGGGGAAAAAGGGGGGAAAATTTCCCCAAAAAAGGGAATTTTTCCCCCCCCCCCCCC